CGTGTAAGTTAGCGCTACCACACATAGATCTTGATGGCACTCACAAATCCTTGAATATCGTGTCAAGTCGGAAATATGCATGAAACACATGCTTTGATTCGTTGAATGGCATAACCCAGCTGTTTTCACTTCTCCAGTTGGACTCCAGAACCTATCCTTTTTTGACTGTTAGTAGAAATGGATGTGATGTCTCAACTAAATCTGCATTTTTCATTAATTCTTATGTCAAGCGGGATAGATAGGATCATAAACTATACTTAACTTTAAATTGTTTAAGTATTCAATAAATGATCATCATCTATATCCCATAGTTTGCAGAGAAGCCCTGTTTGAAGTACCTTAAAAGAATTATGGACCAAATCTAAAATATTGGGAGCTTAGTTTGTTACCACATAATGAGCTAAATATCTAACAATTGAAATTTCTAGATTTATTTATATTCCAACATTCCTTTTCTAAGTTTTAGAGTAGTTTTTTTTATACTGTAATGTGTACCTCCAAAAAATCTAATCACAGATAAAAAAAAAAGACATTTTAATCTAAATTGGAAATTTTTCTTATGAATAAAAAATGCTAAAAGTATACTTTATGAATTAATATTTTATTCTTCTGATCCTGAGGAATTAATTATAGAACGTCTTTTTAGTTTGATTAATGTTTTTGTTTTAATAAATCCATACATGATTTCCTATTTAATCTCAATATATTACATTTATTAATGATCCTTAATAGGTCACAAAAAAGAGAAGTAAAGACAAAAAGTCAACAGCAACAATAACTATTTCATTCTTAAGCATTATTCGTGCAAGCTATCTAGATATAACATTTACCTATATGTCATAAAAAATATCTGACACGGAAAATAAATGTATAAACTGTAAAAGACATTGATCAATAAATGATCAAATGAAATAAGAAAGCAAATCCTACCGTAATTGCCTAAACAGATATTGTCCCTGCAGTGAAACCCCAGGGAAAATGTTAAGTATTTGTAGTGTTTAAAACGATTAGAATTACTTGCATGAATTTATAACATGTGATAAACAGTTATACGTTTTTTCCGTCTTAAAAAAATCGTTATAGATAGTGATGCATCGGAAAACATATATATGCACTTATACCACATCTTCTTATTTATATATATTATAGATAACTAGTATATGATTATTTTATGTTTGTTTGTAAGGTGCACGAAACAGCAAACCTGTGTAAATATAACCAAATTGATAAATTTCTATTATCCATCATATTGTTTTTCTTAAAAATTGATTGTTAAACGAATGTTATTTAAAATGACCCATACAAAGTTATGTAGGTATCGAATTTACGTGCATGAAGAGATGTCTGTCATATTTGTTTTTTCGTAAATTGTTTTGTTATAAATTAGGCCATTAGTTTTCTCAATTGAATTGTTTCATATTTTTCATGTCGGGGCCTTTTATAGCCGACTAAACGGTATGGGGGTTTCTCATTGTTGAAAGCCGTACGTTGCCTATAATTGCTTACATCCACTTCATTTAAACTTTGGTGGATACTTGTCTCATTGGCAATCATACCACATCTCCTTATTTTTATATAGTTTTAGAAATTTAACCCAATATTTTCATTCGGGATAGACCATAGATTTTTTAACTTTGTAATATCATATCTCCAATTCTGTACTGCTGGATTTGCTAAGAATTACTCATATATTGAGATCAAACCATACAAACCATTTAAACATAGTACTACTAAGATAGTTTTGATCAAAAATATTTAACAGCAAACATACATGAGAAATAGTGGAGATACAACACTATAAAAATATTTTTCTCTGACCTAACTAGATGAATAAGCCATTTTTATATAATTGGAGTGTAGATTTAGAACAGTGTAGTTCTGACAAAAAAATTGTAGAAATCTCGTATTATAGTTGTATAGGAAGATAGACGATTACACTTGGATCTCAAATATATAGATATCTCCATTTTTTTTTTATTAAAAATGACCCTTTATAGCTTGCTGTTAAGTGTGAGCCAAGGCTCCGTGTTGAAGACCGTACTTTAACCTATAATTGTTAACTTTTTATACATTGTGACTTGGATGGAGAGTTGTCTCATTGGCACTCATACCACATCGTCTTATTTATATATAACACTATACGCTTTACACGACGTTATGTAAAATTAGACATTCATTTTTGAAGGTTCTGTATACGCTTCAGGCGTATATTTTGTATTGCAAAATGTGTGCTTGTAATAGTCACTTGCACTCTAAAACATCCCCTTATTACGATCGGACATTGTTTCGTATTTTCCACAAACAGCCAATAAGACTTCCCAATTTAGATAAGTTCTTACTTCCGGATAGGAAAAGACCACGTAACCACATGTTTATAGAATCCGTTAAGGTGTTTTTGTCGTTGTTTTATTTTGCATCCAAAATAAAAATCAGAAGTTTCATACCAAGCATCTAGTTGTATTTGCAAATAAGTATTTTAAATACGAATCAAATAGGATGCACATGAATGCAGCTTAGTTATAATCTTATTAAGTAAATGGTATATTTCAACAGAAAAATCGGACCCAACACTTCAGTTGCAAATTTGGTTATTTTTAATTTTGGCAAATTAAATTATATTCTCCAACGCAGTCATATAGATCGATCCTGACACTGTTTGAACGCTGTGTTATCGAAAGCACAAGAAGCATCGTTCTTTTAGCTAAACGTTTCCATAGGCATCAACTCGTTAAACTGTTTGTTCTTTTCTTATTAGTAACGGATACATTTGAACCGAAATTACCACCGACAGAGTTGATGCAATTAATTTAGCAAGATAACGATAACGAACTCCGATTAAAAAACAGATCCTTTGTTTAAGCATTTTTACAAGGATCTGATAACACTCGGTTTTACTTTCTGTTCTCGTAATAATTACATCAGCCAACGAAAGTTCAGCCTTAAAATTTGTAAAGGTGTGTACTTATCCGACAAAACTAGAGTACTTAAACGGTCTTTAAAACAGAAAGTAGAACGGATCGTTTTCAGATCCTTGTGTGTAAAGCTTAGACACAGAGGATCTGTATTGTAATCAGATTGACGAGAACGCAAATTTTCAAACCTAAAATGAGGGTTTTATGTACATGCGAATTATTTGCAATTGCTTTTTAAAAATATATCCAAATGAAATAAACACCCCTTTAGGTCAAACTTTGTTAAGAGACATTGTTATACTTTACTATAGTAATCAATAATAGAATAATCAACAAAGAGTTACCACATTGTCCCTCGGGAGACTACTTATTCGCAAAATTACCGAGTCTGAATGTGCACGCAGTAAAATGACCGCCACTTTTACGCCTAAGCAAAATATATGTTTGGGAATGCACACGTAGAAAATATTACCCCTTTAAATTTTGCTCGGATTTGCACGTCGAAGAAGAAATAAATAGTTGTCGTTTGGTGAAAATGACGTAGGGCCATAAGCATAATAAGGTTTGGTTGCAGTTCTGATATTGACATGGCAAATATTCTACAGCAAAAAAAAAACTGTAAAACACAAAACATGTATAACCTCAAATTAAGTTTAGTAAAATCATACAATTATAACCGTTATTAAAATTTACTATCAAAATTATCAAATCTTGAAAAGATTATTTTCCTTCCGTCCTGTGAACTTCTAAAAATAACCTTTTCTCGATTTAATTATTTCGGGTCTTATCATTTGATGAATTTTTATTGTTTCTTCTGAGATGAATGTTTACTTTCCATAGAATAAGAAAGGGAGAACAAGTTGAGCCAAAAACATAAGCTGTTGATTGTCTAATACAAAATGATTGTAATAACAAAAATACCAAACTCCAAGTTGAGTTCATAAAAGGGAAGTCCGTATTAATTCACTTAACTAAAAGCTCGACTATATCAACCAACGACTGACTGAAAAGCTCGACTATATCAACCAACGACTGACTGAACAGCTCGACTATATCAACCAACGACTGAATGAAAAGCTCGACTATATCAACCAACGACTGACTGAAAAGAAAACTGTCATATTCTTATTTTGGTACCTGAATTTTCATGTGCACATATGTTTATCCTTTCGGAACATATGAGTGAGCCAAAAAATTTCAGAAGGGTTATTTTTGCTATTTGTACTGTGTATGTTTGTTTTCCGGAAAGCTGTCTGTCTTCTGTCTTAATGTAAAAGAGGGACGAAAGATACCAGAGGGACAGTCAAACTCATAGATCGAAAACAAACTGACAACGTCATGGCCAAAAATAAAAAGACAAACAGACAAATAATAGTACAGATGACACAACATAGAAAACTAAAGACTAAGCAACACGAACCACACCAAAAACTGGGGGTGATCTCAGGTGCTCCGGAAGGGTAAGCAGATCCTGCTCCACACTTGGCACCTGTCGAGTTGCTTATGTTATTACAAATCCGGTAAATAGTCTAATTCGGTAAGTCACATTCGTGAAAAGGGAAGGGTATTGTAGTTGCGACATAAGGAACATATCCGATATCATCTGTGAAACGGTTATTCCATAACGGTCAACCAACTCGTGTAAACTATGATCAACTGTTTTTTTTATATCTCCTTCCTTTTGTTATCTCATTTTCAAAATACAATGAAACAACGAAAATGGGTAAAATTAACATGTATGCAAAATAATAACAGATAGTATCCTATGTCTATGCTGCTAGCTTCTAATCAGGTTATACGACGGGCGGCGCGTGTGAATGAAGTTTTGTGTACCCTTCTAGAGCACATAAAATTATCCTGTTTGTATTTAGAATTCTGTCAAAATAATTATTCTTTTTTTGTGTAATGTTTTGTGGATTGTTGGTTTTCTTTTCATCCTTTTTTTTTTCTTCAGCCTGTGACTTTTTATTTTGTGTCCTCTGTTACTTTAAATATATTCAATTATCAAATAGTCACATATTATTTTATACATGTGTACCATACTAGCAAAAAGATGTAACCAAATATTAAAATGATCAACGTTCTTACCAAATATTTTAACCTTGTGTTATTCCTGTAAACATGTCACAGTATAACTAAAATCTCATAAATGATATTAGGTTTATAAATTTGTACACCAGACGCGTGTTTCGTCTACAAAAGATTCATCATATAATGATCATATTTATTACATGGTAGCCACTTCATACGCAATGCACCTTCAACTTTATGATTTTATATAGGACAACATATTATTTATGGATTCATAAAAACTAAAATATGAAAATATAAATGCAATTTGTCATTTAAATTAATGCATGTTAAAACGACATGGTTTCGCTAACTTAGATCTTTAGAAACCAGACAAAATCGTCAGATCTGTAATTTTACCAATTGTGACATTTTAATTGATATGCACGATGTGTTCATAGCAGGAGAAGCTTAGTTTAAACTTTTTGTAAATTACCACGGACGGTTTACTAAGTTACGACGGAGAATTCAATTGATAACCTACATGAGGTCTGGAGCTGGCATGTCAGTAACTGCTAGTAGTCCTTTGTTAATTTATGTATCATTGTCATTTTGCTTAGTTTCTTCTGTTTCCTGTTCTACATTGGACTCGGACTTCTTTTAAACTGAGTTTAACTGTGCGTATTGCTGTGTGTTTGTTTATTCTACATTAGCTAGAGGTATAATGGGAGGGTTCAGATCTCAAAATACATGTTTAACCCCGCTGCATTTTTGCACCTGTCCCAAGTCAGGAGCCTCTGGCCTTTGTTAGTCTTGTATGTTTTTTTTTTAATTTTAGTTCATTTATATGTTTCGGAGTTTAGTGTGACGTCAATTTTCACTGAACTAGTACACATTTTTTGTTTTGGGGTCAGCCGAAGCCCGCCTCCGGGTGCGGGATTTTGTCGTTGTGTTGAAGACCCATTGGTGACCCTTGGCCGTTTTCCGTTCTTTGGTCGGGTTGTTGTCTCTTTGACACATTCCATATTTCCATTCTCTATTTGTATAGTAATAAATTGGAACTTGACTGTGTGGAGTTGTATAATATTAGTTCGTTGTCTTGTTTAGTCATGTTAATGGTCATGTGTACTTCCCACTGAATGAGGCATAATGGCTATGTTTTTTCAAAGAATTAATATATGGTTACATCGTCTATCAGATAATTTTTTCCCATTGCATTTTAGCATACAATTTGTAAATAACGTAAGCTTAGTGCCCCCGTCTAAAGTTTAGTAATTAAATTCTGATTTTAGAAATCCCATACGACGTCTGCATATTGAAGAATAAGCTGAACAAATAAGAATTTTTTTTCAATCGTAAACCTATCAAGAACATTTTTCATTTTCCTCATTATAATTTTTTCTTTTATTTTTGTTATAATCGTCGGTTGTCATTATGCTATCAATAGTACTGTCATTGGACCGCATATCAAGAGAATATGTAAGCATCTCCCAGGAATTTGTTGCACTATTTGGAGGTATATAAAAAGTTCACTAATGCCTTTTATCTTTAAAATAAATCTGTAGCCATATTTCTTCTAAATTAGCTCTTTCAAAGATCAGATCGACGACGAATATGGACATAAAGTTTTTACATAAACGATTATCAGCCTTGTGTGGTCCTCTGCCAAGACGGATGGAGTTATGATAATTTAAGAGTTAATTGATTTTTCTTATGTCTGGTTATTGGTCAACCATGTTTCAGTAAACGTACAAATGTCGAAGTCAGGGGCTAGGCTTTGTACATTTAAATGCAGAATTGTGTACAACAAAAAGAAAAAATGACTAATCAATAAACGAACAAGGTCCACATTAATAACAACTAATCTTTGTACATTTAAGCATGCATGTTTCATCTCTGAAGGTTTTAGGCACATGTCTTGTTCAGTCAACCCATAGACCAACATTGATAATGAAAATGCCTGCGAAACAATTTTACGAATGATAAATAACTTAATGTAGATAAAATCAATATATGTTAGACTGTGAGTAATCTTAGTGCCTGGTGAGTATAGGCCAACTCTCACACAGTATAAATCATGAGTTATGTTTCATCTGGTTGAAATTGGTCAAATTGAAAGCAGCCACATACCAAATTGATTCAACCATATCAATTCAGTTATTTGGTAAAATAGTATAAATAAAAAACATAAACATCTGTTGAGAACAAAATTGAATAATTATATGTAATATGCATAAAGCAAAAACAAAGGATGCACATTGATGGACCAAATAGTTTGGAGAAATAAGTATTCACAAATATAGTTGTTGATGAATAATAATACTTACGTCTGGCGTAAATATAAAATTTTGATCCTGGTCTATGATGAGGTTATTTTCATCTACAAACTTTTGAATAGATTTGAAATACGACGTGTCATGTCATATCTTTTCCAAGTCATGATTGATAGTAAAACATACAAATATTATCAACAGTACGCTTGTCTACGATAAAAGATAGAAATCAACATTTCCTTAAAGGACTGCATACAGGATTTGGTTCTATTTTATAGGTCTTCAATACCGTATGGAATTAAACAATATAGACAAAAGGGATTTTCGGAGTCATGCAAAACATGTATAATAAATTCCAAACGTTAACGTGATTCACGTGACAGATAACTGATCAAGGTAAGTATTCACGTGGTAATTAACAAGTCTGATGGTAATTTTACAAATCCTTGGCAATAATGAGGTATATGCATATTTGAAATAAAAGAAGAAGAAAAAAAAAAAGAAAAAGTGAAGAAAAAACAAGTAATATTTGTTGATATCATCACATATTAAGGTAGTAAATACGTTTAAAATTGTCAAAATTATTTTGAATTAAATGGCAATATACACGACAAATCAGATTATTGATGCGATTGAGGGATAATGATATGAATAAAGTAATGATTTGTATGACCCTGCTGACCATCATTATAGACGAATATGTGATTATCTTTATCTAATGATGCTTTCAAATAGGCATTTACTCATAATATTCATGGAAATATATACAATTGTAGTAATATGAACAGTTACATGTTATCTATTAAGACATGCAGTCACCAGAGATTTGATTGTTTGTGTTTGTAAAAAAAGGTATAACAAAAATACCGAACTCCAAGGCAAATTCAAAACGGAGAAGTCCATAAAATTGACAAAATCAAACGCACTCAAGACCTTGCTCTTGATCTTTTCGCTGCTGCTTCTGCGTATGTTATGAGTTTTAGAGGTGTATACTCGCACCTATTAAGTTACTTGTTATAATCATGATTTGACGTAGTGGTCATTAAGCTTGACAATAATTTGTCTCGGATGTTCAGTGAACTGATTTGCTCTGTTTTTTTTTATGAGTATCTTCCGGGTTGTGTGATCGACCAATTATGTGTGATCGATTTATATCTCCGAGAGCAAATTCGTTGTTAATTCATTTGAACATCCCCGTAACCAACTAAAACAACAACATCAGAAGATCTTCTTTGGGTAGCACACATAAATAACAATATTATATCGTTATGAACAATATTAACATTAACCTACCACAAATACAGCACAATAGAATAATGAACTGTGCGTCACACGAATGTATCAACGCCACAAAAAGTGTTGTCACAGGTAAATTTCTAAAAATACAATATGAAATTGGGATTAAGTTTGTAATGGTGTTATTTGATGTATTTTCTAACCATTACAAGAATATTAATATAGAATTGCGTTAGTAATGGTGGTATTATTAGTATTTTATAACCTTGTCGGTTTTTCTTCTAAATCACACTGTGTAAGAACAATTAAAACATGTATATATAGTTGCTTTAAACTAAAAATCATATAAATGAGCTAGGTGATTAATATCTTTACTTTTACATACATATAGAAAATAAAAATAGAATTAAAATCACAAACGACAAAAAAATGTGAAAATGTGAAAAAGCATAGAAAGATTGTGTGTCAAATACATGTACTGACTAACTAAGTATGTTCTCAATGCTTGTTTGTATTTAATTGTCATTTTCTACATATTTGTGCAAATTTGGTAAATGTAGAATCTCAGAAAAATATGGTTCTATATCAGATTATGTTTAATTGTAGTAGTATTTATAAAACTTGTAAGACATAAAACAACATTCAACCAGAAATATAAATGGAACATCATAACTAAATACATGAATGTTGGATGTACAAACACCGAGACACGTCAAAAAGCAATGCGAATTTACACTCAGCAAAACAGTCATATTCGGGAATAGGTCACGTTCGGTACTTAGAAGACCAGACGAAGTAGATGGTAAACCACAATCTAAGACGTGGTAAAATGTCGTTAGTTAGTTTAGACACAGACACATCGTATAGATCAACCAATTCGTGATGATGTCCATAAAATTTACGGAGTGTCATTTTTAATCTTTCCTCCTCATATATACTCTGTTGGAGCAGTTTCTGCGTAAGGAGCCACTCCTGTATATGAAGTCCGTATAGTGTGAACATGCACGAGCATAACGTATCCACTGAGATATGTAAACACCATACGATGGGGCAGAGGGTATGTTACTGCTAAGAAATAGAAAATTGATCATTGGGAAGTTGAAATCGTCCCGTTTGTCATAGATTTTAGTGTGAAGTCGTCCATCTGTGTCAATATTTAGGAAAAGATCAAGTTATGAAGCAGTTCTTCTAGTGTCAGTAGTATCTTTAATTTCAAGTTCACTGGGATATATGAGATGTAAGTACTGGCTGAAATACGGGTTGTTCAGTGATAGGACATCATCAATATATCTGAAGGTAAAATTAAAGAATTTGGCAATGTGCTTTTTCTTTTTGTCTTTTAGAAGGTTTTGAATGAATTCTGCTTCATACGAGTACAAAAACATAAAACCGACTGTCTGTTGAACTATCAATCCTTCAGACTCAACAAATATATTGTCGATCAAAAAGTACAGCATTTTGATGATATCATCTTCAGTATATTTTTTGGTAGAATCAGTGTGGTTCTTCACAAAATAAGAATTATTATAACCCAAAACAAGATATTTACATCTACGATTCCTATTTTTATAGAAAAAGCTCTGTTTAATGAGATGGTGAAGTCGATTTTTTAATTGAGCATGGGGAATAGTAGTGTAAAGCGTAGAAAAATCAAAAGTTTTAATGTTGCTGCATAAT